ACAATAGTTGTGCAGTGTGTACAGTAGGCTATTGGGGGTTTGGAGACCCTAGATTGATGAAGTTGAACTTCTGTAATTAACGAACTAAGTCATAATCATGTGATTTAGGGCTTATGGCTTTGTTAGAAGTCTTAAGACGTAAAACGTAAAGAAAAGACGTTGTCTTTAAGTGTATGCTTGTAGAGTTTGATTAATGATGTATTATTGGTCCATAACAGATTGTGATACTGCTGTGTTTGGGCTTTGAGATTGTGGACTCTTGGCTGGGATAGCTAGCTTGCAAGGTAAGCTTTCGTGTCCTCGGTTTAGCCATGTTGTGGTTCCACTATGTCTCATGGGGGTATGGTTATATGCATGTTATGTTACATGCTTTTGATGTTTTGGAAATGCTATTGAGCTGTTATATGCTAATGCCTTTATGATATGCATGTGGTGTTCCACCTATACGGTAAGCCTGAGTATGTAGTACATACAATATGGTGAGGCTGTATGTGAGGTGCAAGCGGTGTTCCTTGTACTACATGTAGGTATAGACATATTCCTGCATTTCTCTGGCCAGTAGAATAGTTTAAACACACATGGCATGAATATCTGTTGCACTGCATAGTTTTGGAACTTATATTGATATAAATATTTTTAGAACTTATATTGCACATGTAAGTGAGCTTGGGGTGGAAGATCCTTGAGGACCCCTTGTCTTACTGAAATTTCTCGTTTAGAGATCTCACCCCACGTTTGGGGAATGCTTATTTCAGGATCAGATAATGTGGGGGTTGAGGCCCCAAGCGGCAGGAAGCCGGAGCTGAGTTAGATATTGATGATATTATATGCTGACATGTTGGATGCTAGATATGCTTGCTGCTTTTATGCTTTTAGCTTCATTTTATGATTTTGGATGATCTTGTTGAGACTCCGTCGTTATGTTGTTGATTTGGTGAGCATGGGGATTGTCCATGCCACTTAGACTGGGTTATGTCTTGTTTTATTTAGAGTTGTATTAATGTATCAGGATATTGTCCGGATTACGTGATGTAATGCCGTGACTTGGATACTCACTTTATATCTATATTTTGAGGTATTTCAGTTAGATGTTTATTACAATTTACATACAGGCGATATTTTATGAAACTGATTAAGTAATCAACTTGGCTAAGTATAAAGACGTCATAATTGAAAAGAAAAAGTTTTCCGCATTTTTAATTAAGTGCAGCTTAATACGATAGTATGGTAACATTACCGGGTATACACGGGGTGTTACACTTAGCACCTGAACAGCTTTTGCAGAGAATGCCTGTACTTTTACCACATGTCAATACCCTACTATTTTCACTGGACAGCCAGCAAGAATGGTTGCCCATGCTGTCACGTGTCAAGTCCATTCTCGTTGGGTGGCGTAGCGAGAATGTGACGTGACATTTTAGCAAAATTTGATTGGAAAGTGACATACAAGTAAATACTATTCATAAGAGTGGCATATTGGTCAATGTCCGCTAGAAAACACCTATCTATCACTCACTCCTCTTTTTTTAACGTATTTATATTAATTTTATTCATAAAATGTAATTGTTTTGAAAATATATAGTCTCATAATAAAAATAATAATATAATCATGTAAGAAAATTATAATCATATAAAAATAAACTAAGGGTAATAATTTTATAATTATTTATTTTAATATTTTTTCTCTTTTTTTTATTATCATTGATTTATTTTTGTATGATTATTATTTTTCATATGATTATATTATTTATTTTTTAACATGAGAGAATTTACTCCTGACTGTTTTTGTTTAATAGTTTTTACATTAAAAATTTTAAAGAAAAAATGTTTTTCCATAAATAATGAAAACAAAAAAAGTACTCTTAAAGGGTTATTAATCGGCAGAAGGAGAAATTCGTTTCCCTAAACTAATATAGGGAACTATGAATATAATGTTATAGGGAAAGAAAAATGTCAGGTTGACACAATAAACTGGTGGATCCATTAGTTTTAGGGTTATGTTTATCTCATTTTACATGAGATAAACATCTCTCCTACACACACAAAAAGGGTTGGGTCCTACCACTTTTTTTTTCTCTCTCCTCTTACATGTGGGTCCCACTTATACTTTTATTTCTACAACATGAAGTAATTCCTTTCCTACAACATAAGAAAAATATATCCCTTAGTTTTATTATCTTTTTCCTCCCCCCACACACACACTTTTTCTGTCCTCTTTACTGTGTTTGCCGAACAATTTTTTTTTTTTGGTCCCTTAACATTATATTCATAATCCCCAATTAGCTTTTGGCAGGAGATAGCAACAAGCCAACAACCAATTTGGTGGATAGAATTTTGAGAGTATAAGAAATCCAATGCCATTTATAGGACAATATTAGTCTTATATTAAGTGAGAGTAGTTCTCTCATATTATAGAGAGAGTTTAAGAGCCTGTTTGTTTCACCTTTTAAATAAAGTGACTTTTATCTCTTTCTTATTTTAAAAGTGCTTTTTACAAAAGTTAAAGTTATTTATATTTTTATAAAAATATTTAGTTTTTGAAAAAAAAATATTTAACTTTTGACTTCTGCTTATTGTAGAAGTTAAAATTTTTAGCTTTTGAAAAAAGTAAGTTTTTGATTTTTTTTGTGACTTCTGTTTTTTTTTTTAAAGTAAACATCCAAACAAACTAAAAATTAGAAGTGCTTTTTTTCAAGAAAAAAAATAGCTTTTGAATAAAAAAAAAGCTCATCCAAACGGGCTCTAAGTGGAGTTCACCATTAAAAAATAAAAAAGAAAAAGAAAAAAGTAGAAGTGTGATTTTTAAAGAGAGAAAAAATGAAATAACTATCTCATGTAAAATAAGAATAATATTTCTCTTAATTATATTTAATTACTAGTAGTAGTTACTACAATTGGACGTGAAATCCATATATTGTGACATTGACTTTACCTCTTAGAGTCAACTACCCTCAATTGTTTCATCAGTAGATTACTTACAACCTGTGATTAAGGAAGCACTTTTGCTTACTCAAACGGTCAAACCATTCAAAGACCCTGTTACTCATGGTTTGAATGCTGGTTTTTTTCAGCGATGCTAGGAAATTGTTGGTCCTGCACTGGTTAAGACAACCATGGCTGTGTTCACCAACCTTAAAGCTCCTACTTAGGAGAAATTAATTCTGTCTGCCTCATTCCCAAGACCCCAAGCTTTAGAATCCGCCAATCAATTTTTAGAGTTTTAGGACCCGTTTGAATAGGCTTTTTTTCTTCTTCAAAATTTACTTTTTTTTAAAAGGAAAAATAAACGGGCTGTTAGACTAGTTGGCTTCTGCAACACCCATTCCTAAGAAACTGATATAAATAATTTTTGTCCGAAGATTGCTAAGGGTACTAAGAAAAGTTGCACGACCATCTTAAGAGTACTGTAAGCTGTTCCACTCATCTCAGGAGAGGGCAAAATACTGTTTCTAAATATAGTTTTTGGTTTTTCAAGTGAAAAAATAAAAAAACTTGTCTGATAAGGTCTTTTTTTTAATAAAAATAAAAAATTGTAATTTTTTATTTAGAATCAAATTTAAAAAATATGTCTGGATTATTTTTATTTTGTATTTTAACTTTTAACTTTCAAAATAAAAAAATACAAAAAACATCTATTTTCATAATTTTTCTAAAATAAAAAATAAAAAATCATAACACAATCAAATAACATTTTTTTCCCCTCTGAGATAGGACAGATTTTTTTACATTATCTGCAGTTGTTCCACTGGAAGCCACATAAGGTATAGTTTCATTAGTCCGAAAATATTTTCTATATTACAAATGTACTGATTATTTGGTATATCTTTTATTAAATATGAAAAAAATAATATATTTATATTAAAAATTTGATGTTTGTTATTTTAAATGATAATAAGTTATTTCTTTTCGTATTATTTGTTTTCTTCTTTTTAATAAAAATAAAAATGTACTCATATCCATTGTACTGAATATTTGTTCTAGTAACAAATTGGGTGAATTGCACAGTGGGAACAAACTACTGGACAAGTTTCATTCAGTATGTGGAGCAACCCCACCAACTGCAATCTTGATTGAACTGTCAGCTATCAAACAGTGAATGGTGTTGCTACATAGCAAGAAATCCTATTCTATTCTATTCAGTGCAAACTGATTATACTGCTCTTGATTTGCAATATATATATATACACGAAGATATTTAAGTTGAACGCCGAAAGGGTAGATATTTTCTGATAACCGATAAGATACGACACTTTTTCATCATAAGCGCTTATTATATAAATGGCTTTGATGATTGGTAAAAATAATCAGACAATGATACATAATGGTTCTTTTTTCACTCTATTTAGTTTTCAATTTAATTAGTGTCATGTATTATTACTCTAACAAAACACTTTCCGTAGATAACTGGCAAATGTGGTGGTGCCGTTGAAAAACGTGCCGTATCAATTATCACAAACTAAAGATATTTTACCATGTTAAAAGAAAATGATTTTTAAATTAATTCAGGACGCGACATGACAAATGCAAGGCTGTATTTTTATGCAACTCATCAAACGTCTCACAGCTCATGTCCTCGTCTTATTCTCCTTGTAATACGACATTCATCACACTCATTATTCCACCACAATGCAATGGTTCTTATCTCATGAAAATGGCCTCATTCAGAGGGATTGGACTAATGTGAAATGTCTCAACCTACAGTTGTCCACACATAAGTGTTGTACATGTCCTTGAAATATCGATTGCATCAGAAAATGTCACTCAAAAGCGACAATCCATAATTGCCACTTTGACAAGGATTGGTGATATTGTCACGTTTAGCAGCTAAGTCAGGAACAGCCTTATTTTCTAGTTTCTAATTTCAACACTTGCTGTCATATATTAACTGCAAAACTAGTCCCCTGATGGAGTCACGAGTGGTCAAAATCTAATCTAATTTTCTTTTTGGGGTACTACGAATCTGATCAGGTTTATTATGTACACACAGATATCAACTCATGTAAAAGCAGAAAAAAGACTTTCCATATTTGTAGTACATTAATAGTGCTTCCCGAGAGAGGCTTGGCAATTAGGAAGAAGCTCGAAAACTGACCGTGTGTCATGAAGAAGAACTCTGGTTCTTCCCAGAAACTGGGTTCATTTCTAAGCCCAGGAGCACCAAACTATAGAGAAAAAAGCCTTGGAAGCCAAAAGGGATGGAGCTCAGAGAGAGTGTTGCAGCCAGAAAAAAGTAGCAGAAGACAAGCTTGTTTAACTGCCTTGACACCCTTCAACAGTGGAAGAACAATGCCATCTAAATGGGATGATGCTGAGAGGTGGATTTGTAGCCCTCTTTCAGGCTATGCCAATAACAAGAGTTCCTATGCTCAACTTCAACGGCGACCCAAATCAAAAAGTGGTCCAATTGTGCCTCCTGGAACAACGTACTGCTCAAATTATTCACCTACAATACCACTGCCACAAGGTTTGGTAGTGAAAAACTTAATGGTGGGTTCCCCTTTTACAACAGGAGTATTGAAACCGGATGCTCTTTCTCTTCACCATTATTGTGCACATGACACTGTTTTTGGTCCCCGTTATGACATTGACAATGGGATACAATGTTCTAGTCCTGTGCCAAACGAGAATGGTGTGGCTCTCCCATCAATGTCTAGTGCACCCCTGTGGTCAGAACTGCTGTGTGACCCATCTTCCCCTAATTCTCAAGGTATGGAGTTCTTGTTCAGAAGTAGCCTAAAAAAAATTTACATTTCATTTTCTATTCAACATGCTGCGTATGCATCAGTGGATAAACGTTACTGGAAACTGTTAGTGACATGCTATAGCCAGTAACCATGATGAATATGATCAATGATTCTTGGGCTTGATATGCTTGTTGAGTATGACCAATAATCAAATAGCCTCTTACATTATATCAGGAAAAAATAAAATGTTTCAGTTATTTTCATTTACAGATGACAAACGTGATGGGACTAAGAATGAGGACACTTCAATATCTCCTTTCTCAAAACGTGATAGAGGTACCCAAATGAGCCCTCCTGAGACTGAGAATGATGCACACTCATCTCCAAAATCCTCCGCCAGTTCTACCATGGACCAAAAAAGTTGCCACTCTACAAAGTTAGAGGTCAGAGATGTGCAGGTAGACAGTCAGACTACAGTTATTAGGTGGTCCAAGAGTAATGCAACCAAGATGAACTTGCTAAATGGTAAAGACTTGAAGAAAAGTAGCACGGAAACCCAAGCTTCAGATTTGGACATTTCCAAGTATGTTCTGTATACCTTCTTCTTTTCCAACTTAGGCAACAAATGTTTTGTTTCCTTATATTAGGGGTTGCACCTAACTAATTGTCCAGGTATAGAATGAATCTGGAGGATGCAGTTATGCAAGTGAATCCCAAAATCTACTGCCTTGCCTTTCATTGCTCAATATCATTATTAGCAAGATATTTGAATCTCTACAATATTAATTCAGAGAGCAAAAGAGATAAAATGTCATTGTTTTATTTATGTATTTTTCCATGAACTTATATTTTGGCGCAGGTTTCAGAGAGAGGAAGCCAAAATCATTGCATGGGAGGGTTTGCAGAAAGCAAAGGCTGAAGCTGCTATACGAAAACTAGAGGTTTTTCAGTCATTCCAATTTATATATTGAACTTTCTCATATGGTGTGTCCTGAGTCCAACTCAAATTCATAAGCAAGATACTGAATACATTAACGTTGGTTTCATCACTAATTTTAAGTCCAATTGTTGTCATGCTGTAGAGAAAAGCTCAGAAAATATATGCAGATAGTGTATTACAATATCTAATGCAGGGGCAATTTTACTCATCTTTCCAACTCAAAAATGTTTGACACAGATGGAATTGGAAAAGAAGAGATCGTCATCAATGGATAAGATTCTAAACAAGCTGAGAAGGGCGCAGATAAAAGCTGAAAAGATGAGAAGCTTAATACCTGTACAACAGGGCCAGCAAGTTTCCAAGACTAGGAAAATATTTTCATTCCCCAAATATGTCCAGGTATGGTCTCCAAGCAAGTGCTTTAGCAGTCATGCTTCATGATCGATCCCATGTACTACACGCCCGAAAATCATAAAGTTTTTGTCCAGGTATACTCAATAGGAATATCATGTTTCAATTCATAGGCCCTTATTGTTTTGGCCTTCTGCACTTTCCATTAATATGTGAATTGTGAATACATCATTTGTCTTAATGCCATTTTATGTATTTGGCATATGTATGCATCATGAATAAAGCCTCCCCGTTATGTCTCGAGATTTGTTATTTGTATCTAAATCGGGAAGATTTCTTGATACGAACTCTAATCCGTGCTGCTAGTGATTCGGAACTACACAGCCACTAGTCTAACAGCGGGTGGTTTGAAAATTGAATTGAGTGTCTCCTATAGCCACCACCATTAGCTAGTTTGCGTTGTAAATATATTCCAGAAATTTAATATATTCACATGTTGACCTTCGTATTCTGTAGCAGAAAAAGCACATCTCTTTGATTTTATATAACCGATAAATTTGTTAGTGTTTCCATCTCGTAAAGCAAGATCATTTTGAAAAGGTGTCTACATTATTAGGGACAGGCACAAGTTTTCAAGGCGTAATAAAATAGATTCGGTCGGAACATATTTTTACCTCGTACACTAAACAGGCTTGCACTACAAAAAGAATGACTGAAAAGCAAAGCCAGTTTTCTTCGTAAGTAAAAAATGTCGGGCAAATGATTAATAATTTATTCTGGATAATGAACAATTTATAGCAAGAAATATAACATTCTCGTTCCACAATAAAGCCTATAAAGAGAACTAACAGACGCCAATACATATATCCATCATCTGCACAACATTTGGATACAGGATGATAAAATGTTCGAGAAAATAAAGTATTTCTGGTTTACGATTGATAAGTAAAATCCAATCCATAGTGTTTACGACTAAAAATTATTCATGCTGGAAAACCTGCACCATAGTTCGCTGGTACCCATGCTAGCATTTTAAATAAAAATGTGCCCTACTAGTATGGTCTATACCTCCAATCTGCTCTTGATGGTCTACCACTGGGAGTTCCATAACCCCACTGCAAAAGAAAAAAATGTAAATCAAAAGCTAAAAACATGAGACTACATTCAATACTCCAATGTTCAGTACCCATGGTTACATGCCAAGAGCACTAGCAAAACGACAGATTATCAATGTTTTTTCCACTTGATAGAAAACTAAACATCTCATACAGCATACTTTGATTAAGACAAGAACCAACAATTATGGAGTGCCTGAATTCCCAAAATAATGAAATGGTCAAATTATCTAATTACCCATTTCCCTTATATATTGGTCATAAAAAATCATTAATGTGTATATACTCACATCATCGAAGTCTAAGCTACCATACATCCTCCCATAAGTTCGTACAGGACCACCATATCCCCCAAAAGAATCCACACTATTCATCATAAGATTCCCACTGGGCCCAGCATCATCAACAGGTGTGGCTGAATCTATTGCCACCTGCAGGTACAAGCTGCTAGTAAATCAAATCATATTTAAAGTTGTATATGATTTGTAAATTTGTAAATCATATTCAAATCAAATCAAAACACACACACACACTCTTATATATATGCACCAAAGTCCAAAGCATATGGCACAAGGAATTACACACACACACACATGTATATATAAGATTACACAAATTCATTATTCTGAAACATGTGAATACATGAGAAACAGAGTCGCCATAGAGTTCATCTTGAGTCTTGACATTCACAGCATGATGTTATGTCACAACTCAGAAGGAATTCACACTTCAATGAATTATACAGGTCCACTGTCCAGATGTTTCGTAATGTAATTACTGTACATAGTGAAGCAATGTGACATAGATTTCTGTGAGTAGTAACAGACCCACAAATCCACACTTTTAATGACTCATTACCTTCTAATTGAAGGAGCCAACTAGTTAAGCTGCTAAAATCTAAAGGATATTCCAATAATAACATGCTTAAACCAGGAATGGGCATTTCAAAGAAGGAAGTTAATATCAACCCACATAAACACCCCTCTACCACCACATATATACATTTAAATTTCAATTGCAGAAAATAGAGCATACAGGAAAAGAGAAATAGTGTAGCAAAGCAAGATAGCAGCAAATTCAAATTAAACTACCTGCTGTCCACTGTCCAGATGTTTCGTAATGTAATTACTGTACATAGTGAAGCAATGTGACATAGATTTCTGTGAGTAGTAACAGACCCACAAATCCACACTTTTAATGACTCATTACCTTCTAATTGAAGGAGCCAACTAGTTAAGCTGCTAAAATCTAAAGGATATTCCAATAATAACATGCTTAAACCAGGAATGGGCATTTCAAAGAAGGAAGTTAATATCAACCCACATAAACACCCCTCTACCACCACATATATACATTTAAATTTCAATTGCAGAAAATAGAGCATACAGGAAAAGAGAAATAGTGTAGCAAAGCAAGATAGCAGCAAATTCAAATTAAACTACCTGCTGTCCACAAATCTCATGAGACCTTCGAGAGACACGATCTGCTACACCATCTTCAGCAAAAGTAACAAATCCAAAACCTCTATGACCTGATCTCTTAGGATCCTACACAAAATAGACAGTTGAGTTAATCAGCTTTCAACACTCATACATACATTTTTTTAATATCTCACCCTGGGAACATAAACATCTAATATACGGCCAAATCTTCCAAAATATTGCCGAAGATCCTCAGTGGTTGCCTCAGGGGCAAGATGGCCCACAAAAATCTTTTTACCAAATCTACGAGCAGGCTCTCCCCCTAATTTACAAAATAAGGTAGTCATTAGTAAGCAACTTTAGTCATTTTAATTGAACAGTGGTGCAACCATTCTTACTTCCATAAATTGGGCCAGGATGGTCGTACAAAGTAGGAGCACCAAGTGCTGCATATCTAGTTGCTTGAGAAATATAAGCATTGTATGCACCATATCCTCCCTCGGACATTCTGCCAACTGGCTTATAGTCGTCCTCCTGCAAAATATAGGAAAAATCAAATATCCTTTAATTGTTAAACAATGGACATGGGTATGGAATTGAAACCCACTAGTATGAATTAATTTAAAAAAAAAAAGTCTTGGTTACACATGGTGGCGCACTACTCTTGAATTTTCGGACTATTTTTGGGCAAAATGACAAGCTATAAAAACTCTTGCCTTAGGTGTAGCTCGATCAACCACCACAGTAGAACCTCCCAGTTCATGAGTTTCTGACATCAAATTCTCCACAGAATCTGCAAGACAGAACGTGTTCCTTACGGTGATTGATACATCCTTTCCACTTCATTTCAAAAGAAAAAATTGACATAGTGCAGATAGAGCACATCAAAATAGTGCAGATAGCAGGTACAGTCCAAATTCCTATTTTCCAAGTGATAATAAGACCCTAGATCACTACCAGAGTAGATAGATTAAAGGATAACTAACATATAATAAATCCCATATACTTAAAATATGCAGTCATTTAAGAGTAAAGCACACATGATAATATATATGGCCCAACCTGCATTTGCAAAAGTGATAAAACCAATTCCACGATGCGTTTTTGAGCCTTGATCCTGCTAGAAATAAATGATAAATTATCTATAATTAAAAAATGTCACAAAAAAAGGTACACCATGCATAAGTATGGAGGGCAATTGTGTAACTACAAATGTGAAATCAACAGTGTGCATACATATTCACACAGTATATACAAAAATATACATACAAACTGCATTTCAATTCTGCATGTATCACTCTAACAGGGAGGAAAGTACCTTTGGCATGTACAAATCTGTTATTTCCCCATATTTCTCAAAATGACTGGAAGAAAAAGAAAAGAAAAAAAGGAAGGACATGAGATCATCACAAAAATTCCTCATCATAAGATTATTTTACCAAAGAAAGAAACCACATGCTTGTATACCTTCTAAAAGTTGTTTCTGTTATTGATTGTGGAATCCTGGCCACAAATATTCTGGTAACTTTTTTGACTGGTGCCCTCATCTCCTCCTTTACAATGAAAGCATTACAAGAATCAGTATACAATCATAGCACATGGCTATTATATTATGAACCAGCCAGGGACCAGACTAGATTTCTAGTTTTAAACAACAATTTGATCATAACCTTCGGTGTGGCCACTTTGACTTCCAGCATCCTATTACCAAGAATATGTTCGCTTGATAATACTTCCTGCAGCCAGAAGGTCATTCAACTTATGATATAGCATGGAGACGTGATCAGCAATATATATATGGGTTTTATAAGAGTTATGTTGTAGGAAAAGTGATTGTGTTATGTTATAGAGATTCGTTTTGCGTGCCGGAGTTTTTTTTTTTTTTTTGGTTTCAAAAATTGCGGGTTCCACAAAATGTTATGTGTGTAGGAAAGTTGTTGTGGTCATGTTAAATGATAGATGCAAAACCCTATATATATATATATAAGTTACCGTTACCTTCGCATCATCCACTGAAGCAAATGTAACATATCCAAAACCACGAGACCGTCCAGTTGAACGCTCCTAAATTAAAGTGAGTAGATTAAAATGTGCCTCCAGAAAACTTAATAGAGTAGGGACAATGTAACCATACTCTGTATAAGACAATTATATTTCACATTCATCAGAAATCATGCATAATTAAGATGTACAAGGCATTGCCTTGACACAACAGATAATATGAATTCTGTCTATTGCATGTTTTTTTTGCTAATCTTTATACAGACAATCCCAAGCCTAGGCAATAGAGGGGTTGAGTTAGGCAGTCAGCAATCAACACAGATTTTTGTCGAGTTTTAATGCCATATAAGGATCAGAGGTAACGATGGGGGAGGGAAGGAAAAAGTGATCCCAACCCTAGTTTGATGTCAAAAATTGACATTGAAGGACCATTTGGATGTATTTATTATTAGCGGACCAAATTAATGACAAATGTATCTTTGAAGGACCAAAATGGATGTTCACTCTAAATGGATTAGTATGTTCAGCTTCTCTATGTAGCACCGACACCCACACGCGACACAATACCATACGACACTCTGACACGTCAATTCTAAAAAAATCTGGATTTCGACACATTAGGACACGTTTTAATATTAAATAATATTTTTAATTTATATAGCGTATATTACATTTACTATTCAATAATTTAACAAAAAAATGAAACTAAACTGATAATACCCATCAATTTAAAGATTCAAAGAAAATAAATCATTTCCATAATTCCATTACATTAATATAAAGCAAAAATAATATAATATAAAATATGACTATAATAAGATAAAAACAATAGGGAAAGAGAAAAAAAAAATGAAACACCTGAAAGAAGAAAGAATGTTATAATATAATATAAAACAACGTATATATGTCTTGTCTATTGAATCAGTGGAATATATATGCAGCAATCACTATATGATAAGTTCTTCCTTCCTCTATCGAATGGAAAATAAAGAATGTTAAAAAATAACATAAAATAACATATATGTCTTGCCTATTGAATCAGTCGAATATATATGCAGCAATCACTTTATGATAAGTTCTTCCTTCCTCTATCGAATGGAAAGAGAAACAATAAAAGTGAGAAGAAAACAAAACACTGTTCCCAATGAAAAACAGTGCTTACATACTTGCACATAATGTGTTTGAAAACACCGGAAGGAACTCGCGCTCGCCAGTCGCCACTGCCAGTCGGCGCTGGAACTCGCTCTCCAGTAGGCGCTGCAGTCGCTGCACCACCTTATGAGTTAGGGTTTCGTAACTTTGGTTTTTAATTTTGAGAGTGAAGAATGAGTTGTCTTGTTGACATGTCGTGGGTGGGAAGCGAAAGAGTGAAAGTTTTTAATTTTTTAAAATGTATTTTAATTTTTTAAAAATTATAATTTTATTACAAAAATGTCATTTGACCGTGTTGGACAAAGTCAAATTTACGTGTCGGATTGGTCAACATGTTGGGAATATCGAACACGTGTCGGAGTGTCCGACACCAACATTTCAGATTTTTTTTGAAGTGTCAGTGCTATATAGCTGCTTCTATAAGCTTTGAGCTTAAGTACATCGCAGTTGGATGAACACAAACATCTTCAAGAGTATAAGGAACCACCCCTTCATCCTTCTAAATTTCTCTTCTTCAACATTTACAAGTAGCAATTACTTTTAATCAAATTCAATGCACAAAGAAGTATTGAAAGGATTAAGTCAATATAAACAGGTAATACACGTAATACAAAAGGCAAAATTATAAATTTCAAGAAATGTAGTCAATGAATACTGATAATGGGACAATCATGAATTGATATGGTAGGCAATCATGAATTGATATGGTAGGCAATTATAAATTGAACATTTAACGGAAAAATGGAAAGTAAGGGCTAACCTTCATAACAACGCAATCTTCCAGTTCACCAAATTTGGTCATATATTCCCTCAAGCCCTCAGTATCAACGTCCCACGGAATACCCAAAACCTAAGATGCAATTTTATGAACATATAAATTATTATTTTTGTAAAAAAAGAAAAAGAAAAAAGAAGCGAACAAAGGGTAGCTCATCAACGAAAAACTAAAACAAACTATGTCAAGATTCTGATTATTGCAATTCACAAGTAAACATATGAGTAAAGGAATAAAGGTACACAAATTAAATGTGCGTGACTAACCACAAGCTTTCGCTGATCCATTTGAAACTTCAACAAAGCGGAATGAAAGAGAATCGAATGCTGCAGAGGGAAAAATCCCTATCCACCACTTTGAAGGGGGAAGAAAACAAAAAATAAAAAAATAAAAATAAAAATAAAAATTCTATCCACCTCCTCCTCCTCTTGGGTAATGGTATCTCTCAGCAGAGCACTCAGCGTTCTTTTCACTCCTCTCTCTCTAAATATCTCACACTCGCCCCCTGCACATAACAAGCACACTTCTTTCTCACACACAATTATTGTCATCATCAACATCATCATCATCATATACCAATTGAAAATCAGCTTTTGCGGGGTGGTGTTCTACCACTGTCAAAGAAAAAAATTTGATAAAAAGAAAACTGAAAGAAATTCGGTGAATTAGGCGCTCACTGACCTTGAGGAAAATGAAATTCAAAACCCTAAATTGGAGATCTCGCTCGCTCTTCCTATCTCTCCCTCTCTCACGCTCACGCTCGTGCCGCTCATCACCGTCTCAGCCTCCAACAGCCCAAAATTTACATGAAATGCCCACTACGTATCTATGAATTGGGCTTGACCGGACCCAAGAACCGGGCCGCTACTGATGGGTTAATATTGAACCGGGTAATTAACGGAAGCTCTTGAGTCCTTAACTAATAAGATTAAGGGGACGTTTGATACAAGAGAATTTTTTATTTTTATTTTTTTTACCGGAAAAAAGATTTCCGAGAATAAGGTTGTAATTTTTTTTTCCTTGTGTACGTTATAAAAAAGTGTTTGATAGGCCAAAATTTTACCGAGATTATTTGATTAAGTTTACTGAATTGGTATTTGGTTGATTGTGAAATATTAATAGGAATGTGGGGTTATTTTACAAAAATAACCCCACCTTTATTGTTTGATTCAAAATGTATAATGAACGTTATTCACCAGAGAGAAGAAACAGATCTGAGTATCGCTGGTATCTTCACCACAGGTTTACCTCCTGTGCTGGCAATGTGCCCCGGGGGCTATGGACACCTTCACGAGGAACTAATTTAAGTTGAAGTGTGGTTCAAATGTGCAAATTGTTTTCTAGGATACCAGCATAGTAACAACATAGAACCACCCTATGCATATTCATGGGTTCCACTCCTTTGCAATTGGTGCAGGTTTTGGTAACGTCAACCCAGTAACAGATCCTGCAAGGTTTAACCTTGTAGACCCACCAGTGAAGAACACCATAGATGTTTCATCATATTCACGAAGATCATACAAAAAAATCAAGGTTAATTTGGTCCAGATAATTGTTGTTTCTTTTTACTTCCCAAGGTACAAATTAATTCCATCTAATCCATGGACTTTCTGAGATTATTATCGTATAGAACTTTACACTCAACTGCAAAAATCGGGGAAAAAATTTACCCGAGAAATTTTTCCTTTTTTTGCTACCAAACATAATATTGTAATTTCCCCTAGCATGCTTTTTCAGGAATTGAAATATAATCTTCGTACCAAACGTCACCTAAGAACTAACTATTAAAACGGGGTTTGTGCTCTCGAGTTTAATATCCCAAAATTTGTAATTTCAATTTTAGAGAATATTTAAAATAATAATACTACTACGAAAATAATAATTGTAATAAAAATAATAATTTGAGAAATATAAAATAATAGAGAAGTTAAAGGTTATAAGTATAATCTTTACTATAAAAAATTAAATTTAGGAATAAATAATGCAATATTAATATAATTTAAGTCGAGTTTACCAAAAAAAATATAGTTTAAGTAGAATAATTGTATAAGAACGACAAATAATTGTATAAGAACAAAAAATAATTAATAAATCTAATAACCTCATATTTAGTAAATGTATTAAACTTTCTCACTCAAATGGTGAATAAAAATTAAATAAAAAAGAAGGTAGTAGGGAGAAATTAAATAAAATCTCATAAAAGTTCATGAAAAGAAAATATATTATAAAAAGAGAAGATACGGTATAAAGCCTCGTTTCTCTCCACACAAAATTGGCAACTTGAATGAATAAGCGAAAAGAATGCATTTTTTTTTCAAACAATGGTCAATGGTATACATCAAACAGAGCAGAAAATCTGACCGCGCATTTAGGGGCCGTTTGGTATAGGTTTTTCATTTAGATACTCATGCATCTTGAAGTGGTGTTTTGATTTGACCCCGTTTGGTACAAGATTTTAACAATTTTAACCAGCAAAATCGTTTCCCCAGCCATGGTGAATCATGTGCAAAAGTTGATGTAAATCACTGTTCTGAATAACCACAAGGAGGGTGGTACTTTACGGTTAGCTGGGAAAGGAAAATTTGGGCGTGGGGTTGGAGACTAAAATATCCCTGTTGTACAATGAATTTGTTCCAAGTGAAGAGCCATACAAGAGGCAAAATTTCCAACCAACATATCGAAGATGAATATTATCCGACCACGAACTCGAACTTTCCGACCACAAGGAGGGTGGTGTTGGCTGGTATGACAAACTTGAACTTACTTGAAAGAAGGCAACGATGCTACTGCACGAGAACCATCCGTTTTTACATAAGTCATCTAAAAACCGAACAAGAAGATAGGAAATCAAAAAAATCAATATCAGAACCAGACATTAAAATATATATCAAAGAAAGATTTATGAAGAAACACAGAGAAACACAGTTCTTGCACAGATGTCCAATGATACACTCATGGATGTATTTCAATTCAAATTCAAAATTTACCAGGGGTATTTTCGGTTTTTCAATATATTTTCCCGGCAATATTTTACTTTCAACCAAATATAAATTTTGTAAACTTAAATCAATTTTCCTGGTAATATTTCGGTCTACCAAACACCTTTTAAAAAACTTCCCCAGTAAATTTGCTTTCTCACTATTTCCCTAGTAAAAAAAAATTATCCTCTACCAAACACCCCCTAAGGATTCTCCAAAATCTTCTCTTCCTATTATAAAATGCACAACCAATGGGAGGAGAATATCTTATTTTGAGTTTTTGAATATAATATGTGTCTCTTTTTTTTGTTAAATCATTATTTCATCCGATTTTAAAATAAATTATTTATTAATAATTTGACAAAAATAAAATACATATCACATTTTAAATAAAAAGTTGGGGCAGGATAAATTTATCATAAAAAAAACTTACAATCTTTATTACCAACCTAAAAATTCAGTGCATCTGTAACCCTAAAGAAATTTTCCAATAAGAGGGTGGCGAGGTGAAAAAGAAAAGAAAGGTATGGGCGTACAATGAGGGAGCGTTTGGTAGAAGAGAAAAAAAAATTATCAGAAAAATATAATTACTGCTATAAGTTTGAATTTGCTAGGGAAATCAAAATACCACCATCAAGGTGGTATTCCCAAGTTGGCATTTTCCTTTATTTTTACACTGCTTCCTCTATTATTTATACTGACATATGTGAGGCAAGTGTATGTACAGTTAGTTTTGTGGGTTGAGTGGTTTCCATGACTCTAGGATAATAAGTAAATTATTGATCTGCTTCATATGTAGATTGCATGTGAACACCACGAATAGTACTAAGCATGAAGTAAATGCCATGAACTGTATTAATACATCGATGTTGTACCATCCTTTGTTGACTTTCGATTATGCAGATGCCATGGAGATTGAGGTATGATGTTGCATAGAGTAATTATTATTTATGTTATTTAAATTGGAAAATTTTTCAGGTGTACGCGAACTAAGGTACGTTACTATGTGAATTAGTATATCAATTAACATGTATTGTCTGAAATGAACATGATTATGATTTCGTGCTGTGAAAGGAATATGCTTTTATTTTGAGAATAATAATTTATAAAATTGTAAATCAAGTCGAGGTTATAGTCATGGAATAGGACCTAAACTTACCCAAGTTATTGTGAGGAGATTGAGCTATATTGTAACGCCTCCGGAAAGGGGCTGGGCTGTGTGTTGATGCTGTTGGGCAAGGCAAAGTGATTGCCTATGCTTCGAGGCAGTTGAAGCCTCAAGAGGAGAACTACCTGACTCATGATTTGGAGTTGGCTGCTATTGTGTTTGCTTTCAAGATTTAGAGGCCTTATCTTTTTGGCATGAAGTTTGTCGTGTTCAGTGACCCAAGAGCTTGAAGTATCTGTTCGATTAGAAGTAGCTGAACACGAGACAAAGGAGATGGATGGAATTTCTGAAGGATTACGACTTTGAGTTGAAGTACCATCCTAGCAAGGCCAATTTGGTACCTAATGCTTTGAGTCAGAAATCTGTGAGTCTATCCAATTTGACGATGGGTGACTATGCTCAGACCCGACACTCGAAGAGGAATGTGCGACTGGTCGTACTCTCTCCTATGAAAGAAAGAAACGATGTCAAACAATTTAATTTCAATTATAATAAGAAAAGAATTTAATAAAAAAAGAAAGAGTGAGACTGACAAGGGGGATGGGGAGAGGAATGGAGAGGCCTCCATCCATGTAGAGGTTTCTGAGATTGGAGAAACGGTTGAGGAAGATTTCCGGGGAACAGGTATCTCCGATTCGGAGGGTGGTTCGGGAGAGGCGCTCGAGGCGGAGCCAGCGGCGGCACACGAGGGAGCAGGCGTCGCGGGTGGATTTAGAATTGAGGAAACCGAAGATCTCAAAGATTAATTCGTCGGGAAGGGAGGTGTTGATCCAATCATGGCCTCGCATTGCGTCAGAAGTGAGAATAAAATCGGTGCGAATTAAGAATAAGAAAGAAAGAGGTGCAAGATCGGTGGGTTTTGCTCTTGGACTAGGATTTACTACATTATATGCTAACCTACGTAAGCAGTTGCATGCAACAAATAAACCGCTGTTTCAATTGGGCTTCTCTCCTTATCCACATTCGTTAGGGCTTCCCCTACATATTCTAGTAACCCATGAAAAACCCTAATTCACATCATTCTCGTGTGATTTGTAAGAATCATAGGCTGTCATATTAGATATTATAACAATTGCTTCCTCTACTATTTATATTGTCACACATTTGACAAACTCATTAGATCTATTGTATCACATTGGGGAACACCAATACTCTTTGTCAAGAACAAAGATGGAAGCATGAGTTTATGTATAGATTATAGATAGCTAAATAAATTTACTATACAAAATAAATATCCTTCTAGATTAGTTAAGAGGAGGCATTGTGTTTTCTAAGATAAACCGAAGGTCAAGATACTACTTGATTAGCATTAAAGCGAAAAATATTCCAAAGACAACTTTTAAGACCATATATACGCATTATGGATATTTAGTGATACTCTTTGGACTTACTAATTCCCTATACGTGTTTATGGATTATATGAACACGATTTAATGATCTTATTTAGACCAATTTGTGGTGGTTTTTTGACTTTTTTACCCCTCATTAATTAATTAATAACCATTTTGTCCCTTACCCAGAACTATCTACCGATATGTCCCTCTTTAATCGATTAACTTGAATATTTAATCAATTAAATGGTCAAAATAAAAAAATGATTGACTCGAGATTTAATCGATTAAATCTCTCTCTTTAACCGATTAAATCTCCTAAGATTTACCAACTCTTCGCCACCATTCCTCCCAACGTCCAATCTGTCATGTCAGTCTCAGTCTCACTCTCAGTCTCACTCCTTCTTCATTCTCAAATTTCTTATATTATTTTTCTGATTCGATTTTTCTTCACTGGTTTGAGCTGCAACGCGATAAACACATTGAGTTCCTTTCCAAAGGTCTCCGTCATCTCGGTTCCGCCTTCACCGTCTTGGATGCCAAATCTTTCTCTCTCTCTTTAATCAATAAACAACATTCAGATTCTCATCTTCTTTTCCTGCATTTTCTTTCGATTTCCTTGGGATTCGGCCAAAGGATGGCTTTCAAGATTTTCACCATTGCAAGTATTGTGTTATCAAGAATCGATGCAGATTTTGGTTCGGTCAATATCAAGAACAAATAATCCAGAATATAAAGGTTGTGGCATTTTTCTGCTGGCCCAAACGATGGTTTGCTCCTATTATTGAATATTTAATCGATTAAATAGGGAGATTTAATCGATTAAATCTCGACTAAATCATTTTTGTCTATTTTGACTATTTAATCGATTAAATCTTCAAGTTAATCGATTAAAGAGGGGCAGATTGATAGATAGTTCTGGACAAGGGGCAAAATGGTTATTAATTAATTAATGAGGGACAAAAGGGTCAAAAAGCCCTTTTGTGGTGGTATTGATAGTTGATATTTTGATATATTCAAAGAATAATTAAGGAGGAACATAAAAAAACAGCTAAGGATAGTTTTTCAGGTAATAAGGGATAAACAACTTTATGCTAAACTTATAAAGTGTGAATTTTGGATGGAGGTTAAGTTCTTAAGTCATGTGATCTCGAGGAAAGGAGTGTCATCTAATTCTAATAAGATTGATATTGTCATACATTAAGAGAAACCAAACACTATTGCTGAGACAAGAAGTTTCCTAGGGCTATTAAGATATTATATATAGGAAATTTATTATAAGATTTTCACGACTGGTATTACCATTAACCATATTAACTAGAAAGTGAGTACCTTTTGTTTAGACTCCAGAATGTGAGGGTTGTTTCCAATGCTTAAAGAAGACATTAACAACTACACATATTTTGATCATCCAGAAGTCCTTGACTGACTAGGAAGATCCAAGGTGTATAGTAATACGTCTAAGAAAGGATTGAGTTGCATTTTAATGCAAAAAAAGAAGGTAGTAGTCTATGCATTTAGATTTAGGAAACTGAGACTTCACGAGAAAAGGTAATATTTCACAAAAGAGTAACCATTTGTTTCTTAATTTTTTTAACAAAATAACAAAATTCAACTCGTACAATAAGGGTCATAAGCACCCTTTAATAAAATAATTACAAATTGATCCCAAAATTAAAATTCAAAATATAAAATCCTAAAAATAAAGAAAATTCCTAAAATAAATATAACGATAGTTAACTTCTAAAAATAAATAATTATAATTAAATTGTTCAAAACACGTCCCAAATTTTATATATCCAATCATGTCAAATGTGTTGCTTTCTTTTTTTTTGCCAAACAAATCACAATCATATATGCGACTTCATTTAGATTTAGATTTGATCGTAATTTGTTATATTTTAAATTACTGCTTCTTATAACAATTGAGCTATAATTTTAGTTGACTCCGAGCTTCTTAAAACAATGGTTGTACCATATGTAATGGGTCAACTGTAAATATATTATTATCTTAGGTATTTATTTGATAAAAAATTTAAATCTGAGACAGAGAATATTAATGAAATTTTTGAAAAATTATGATTTTGAGTTTAAATATTATCGAGGAAAGGAAAATGTGATAGTTAATTCTTTAAGTAAAAAATCACGATGTTTAAAGAAATAGAATTAATCGAGAAATTGAGGGACATAGAGACTACATGTACCAATATTACCTCACGGTTTGATGTCAGGGCCATATATATTCAGCATGAGATTAATTACTATTTAATTTATAATAGGGTTTTATAAGAGTTATGTTGTAGGCAAAGTGATTGTGTAATGTTATGGAGATTTATTTTGCGTGCCGTATTTTTTTTCTTTTTTCTTCAAAAAGTGTGGGCTCCATAAAATATTGTGTGTAGGAAACTTTGTTGTGTCATGTTAAATAACAAATGCAAATCCCTTTGTAATATTTTTAGCCAATAATTTTGAGTCTTGCACAATTGCATTGACTTTATGTCTTTGACACGCTATATAAGGCTACTTTGCTACATGACAAGAGGTGGCAAATTACGCAGCGTGTCCCAATTTGGCAAGTGGAATGGATCGACTCGTCGAGTCGAGCTCATTTTATCGGCTCTATATATGATGACTTTCTTAAGTGACAACCAAGTGCCTGTTTAGGAAATATTTTTTTTTTAGTTTTTCTTCTTCTTATAAGGAAAAGTTAGACCAAACCGAATTTTACAAAACTTCTTATAAGTAAAAGAGTTTTTTATTGTAATAAATAAAGTCAAAAGCTTCTCAGATGAATATTTTTTAAGTTGTATCAACTTATTTTAAATTTAAATTTTTAAGTAACTTTTAAACTAAATTTATTATATAATCATCAAAAAGCTTTTAGCTTTATTTTTAAAACTCTTTTTTTAAGCTTAAAAAAAGATATGTTAAACAAACTCCAATATTGATGTATCTATTTGCTACACCAAAAAGAAACGATATATTTGTTTGGCTTCATTCCATTTTTTTTAGTGGCTTTTTAGGAGGTTTTTTTTTAGCTTCTCTTTTCCTTATAAGCAGCGAGACCAAACAGATTTTTACAAAAGCTCTTAAATAAAAATAGTTTTTTCTAATAACGAAGAAAATAGTTAAAAGTCAAAAACTCATAGGAAGAGTATTTTTTTTAAAGTTGTATCAACTTATTTTTAATTTGAGTTTTTTAGTAATATTTAAGTTAGAAAATTTATATAATCATCAAACACGTTTAGTTTTACTTTTAAAGTTTTTTTTTAACTTTACCTTAAAAGTACTTTTTAACTTAAAAAAAAGGAAATGCCAAACATGCTCTTCATATAATTATGTGTAAGGCACAAGCTAACATAATCGTCTATATGCATGGATTATGAAAACTATAATTACTAAAAAGCACATCTTGAAGTATGATTAGATATAGATAAGATTAAATTGTCATATAAAACCATATATTTTCAAAATAATAATATAAAATAATAAAAACACATTCATTTGATAATTTAATTTTTTGGATTGATTTAGTTTTTAACATGAGCTCTATAATTCAAGGGTCTAAATTTCAATTCTTACCTTTAAAAGTTTAATTTTCATGTTTCAAATCCTTAAAAAGGAAAATATTTTGAATGCTAGGAGTCAAATTAAAAAATTGGTACATTCTAATATATATATATATATATATATATATATATATATATATATATATATAGGGCAAAAGATTTCTCCAGTCAATGGAGATAAGTTATCTTCGGTGAGCCCAAAACAACGTCGTTTTGCGGCAAGAATCAAGGTGTTTTTGTAATTGTAATATATTGCAGGATTATATTAGTCTTTATCTTTATAATTTTTTAATCTTATGACCCAAAACGACGTCGTTTTGAGCTCATTGGAGATAATTTTATCTCAACTAACTGGAGAAATACTTTTTTCACATATATATATATATATATATATATATATATATATTTGGAAGAATTATATAAATTCTTTATTAAAGGATATTTTTGTTATATATATTTATTTTTATCATATATAATATTATACAATACATTATCAAACACCGGATAATATTATCTTATACAATACATTATTTATAAAATATTATATCAAACACTAAATAATATTATAATTTAATGAGACCTTATAGTATTAGTTCTTATTCTACCATACCATAGATAACAAATATGCCCTTAGCTTATTAACGCATTACAGACACATCAATCGACTTTAAAGTGACTTTCAATTGTTCCAAGAAGAGTGGAATTGATATATTCCTGAGGACCGTGAGAAGGTAATCCAGGAAGTACTAAACCAACCAACCTGAAACCAAAGAGAAGCCATCCTTCTCTATAGTGAGGTCCATTTATGTACGCAATGGTAAAGCTCCTCATTAGTTCCAAAATAGAATTAAGCGTCATGGGTATCACGCACCATGGCGAGAAATAGTTCTTATTCGGTTCTTCTTCAAGAACCTGCATTAAAATTAAATAATAAACAAAACACTTTCAGTATACGTATATACATATTCATATAAAAGCTTCTTTAATAGAAAATATTTTTCTCTGATGTGCAACTTTTTCATAAGCATAGGTAGCTTAGTAAGGGATTAATATTTTGTAATCACATAAGAGTGGGTGGGGCATAAGAATAAGAGAGAGAAAATTATATTCAAATACACACTCACCCTTGGTTAATAAAATTTGATAATAATAAAAACTTACCCTGAGTTCGTAGCGCCTATTAAAGAAAAGGCAGACCCCAAAGTGCTTGAACAATAAGTCCTTATCATCATAGGGCAACCTTGGAACTATATCATTGCAATAAACAAACCTGCAATACATTATAGAATTTTCCTTCAATTTTTGTTTCATGTACCTTGCGTATTCTTCATCTCCAACTCTTGGTTGCCCAAACGTGTAGATCCCTTGTAACCTCTCGATTAACAACGTCTCATCATGCAAGAACAATATCGTTGAAAAGAGGATAGCGAGTGCTCCACCCAAACTATGGCCTGTAAGTATAAACTTTGCTTTATCATTTTCACTCAAACGTTTTTTAAGTATGTCCCTAATAACATAGTAGGCAAATGGGGGAAGCCTTTCATCTCTTTGAATCTCCTTAGGCCATCCTACATTCTTCTGTAACCCTAAGGCTTTCATAAAGCCACCATGCATTTTTCCAACGCCAGGAATTCCATACCATGAGATGTCAAGATCAGTGCACCAATCGTCTGCATCAAAGGGTTCCGTTCCTCTGAAAGCCACCACATAAGTATCTTTGTCCAAAAAAACCAAGACTTCCGTGTTGGCCCTTCTTTGGTATTCTACAATAATGTGCATATACCGCAAAAGCTCTTTAAAAACTAAATTAATCAACTCGCATTTAGTTAATTATTCTTATTCAGAAAGCTCTTTAATTATGAATAAATAAGATAGGGTTTGCTTTTTAGTTCTTACCGTTCCAGCAGTCATAAAATCCCACAAACTCCATCTGTATAAGAGAACATATATAGATATCTCAAAACAAGATTACTTAGTGATACATAATTTTTTTTGTTGATTAAACTAAAAGGAGAAGATAAAAGGGTGCAAAACAAAAATAAATAAATTTGTATACCTTCCATTCATGTGTGATTGTATATTTAAGGTAAGCTGCATTTTCATAGGATGCTTTTGAAGCCATCATAGCTAGTGAAACATGGTACTTACTATCTTCACGGTTGACGATATTCAACTTTACACGCCGGTCCAAATTTCCAATACAAGACAAATATTTTGGCGATTCACGATCCGGGATGACAAGATGACCTGTTCAGTTTATATTGTGATTAGATACCGAACGAATTCTCTTTAAATGAATAATCATACTTCTTATTAATATTGATTGGAGAGTTTGCTTAGTTATTATGGTTTTCCACTTCAACTACAAATTAATGCAATGTTCAGAAAGTTCGTGATTGCTTTTTTTTTTTTTTTTTTGGTACATTGTCAGGAGGTATTCCCGTTCAACCTTCTCCGGGCACCATGCCCTCGGGGTACGGCCCGTTTGGGCTAGCCCCTCATTGTAACAGTGGGTGCACTAAGCTTCGCAACCCGAGAAAGGACGAGACTAATCCCCCAACTGAAGATTTTTTCGCTTATCTCTGGCCCCCAAAGATTTTTCAAGAAACTGCTTGAAGCATGGTTTGATCCCTACACCAAGCAATCCCTTGGGAGCTCAGCTGCGCTACCCTTGGGGGTTGAAAGTTCATGATTGTTGAATATGTTTGACTAATGATTTTTATTCTTTTGAGTAAATGAGGATTAATATTTAAAAGACAATCTGAATATCATTACATAAGTTATGCAGGATCAACCATATTATATACGTTGCAAAAGTTAGCTATCGTTGATTAATGCTTTAAGGTTGAAGAATTATGTTAAAACAACGAGTGAAAAAGTAGTTTGAAAATAACAACACATTCTACAACAACTTAAATAATAATAATAAAAAAGACAACTTATATTATCTTCCACCACGTTCGAAATAGACAACTTATAATAGTTAATACAGTTACTAACTAGGGACAAACTTGGTAATCGTGATTGCCCAATGAATCCACCCCATGTCACATAACCGTCCCCAGCGAGACGGCACCACGGTCCACGCACCAACGTGAATCACGATTAATTTAATTATATTTTAAATTCTTATGAGTTGACCACTTATTTTAAATATATTTAATAATTTATATAACTGATAGATTAATATTAAAATGTAATCAATATTCCGTAAATTTAATTTAAATATTTATAATTTTGAGACAGTCTTTATATATATATATATATATATATGAGAAAGATCTTTTGATTCTGGTATAAGACTTAGAAATCTTACTTTTCATCTTATTCGTTAATTTTTTTTGTACATTTAATGGTTATAATTTATTGAGTTATAACAATTAATTATTATTGATTTCAAAAATCTATAATCATTAAATAAACGGAAATCAACGGCTAAAATGGGGAGTAAGACTTCTTAATCTTATACCGAAATCAAAATCTCTCTCCCCATATATATATAAGTTATTCTTATACAAGTGTAAGAATAAAAAGTCTTACACCAAATATTGATCACTTATTTGCTTTAATCTAATGGCTCACATATCTAATAAATCATAGTTATTAGATATAAATAGAATTAATGCCTAAAATTGAGAGTGTAACTTACATCGATGCAACGATCTTGACCCTATATATATATATATATATATATATATATATATATATATATATAAAACTCAAATTGCCTTAAGATGTAATAAATGACATTATCAATTACTAAATACCAAATTCTAAACAAAGTTACCTTAAATGAATTATCACATTTATATGGAGAGAGAATTTTGACTAGAGAATTTTGACTCCGGTGTAAGAATAAATTTTTTTACATACTCCCCATATTAATTATTAATATTTATGTATATGACTATTATAATTTATTAAATTATAACCTTAATTTATTTGTCTTTTTCTTTTATGAAAATTTCAATTTGTTTGTCTTTAGTACTGAATGAAGGTACCCGAATTTCTTTATTCTTATCAATTCAGACTTTTTTTAAAAATAGATTTTATCTGTGTTTTAAAATAAAAAAGTTTGACGGTTGTGGACACCTGTTGGGATACTAACCCAACACATACTACTAATGTTAACACAATTACGAAATAATGTAAAAGAATTATATTTCATGTAACTCAAAATTAAACTCACATATGTGTGGGCGTATTAAATTGAAAGACTTCCTATTTCATTAAACTTATATATAAACCAGCAAGGTAGTCGAATAATTTGAGAAGGGTATGCTGTAATTAAGATAAAGCCACATAAGCCATTAGGGTTAACTTAGTGGTAAGGAGTGTGAGTAGTTATGTAATAGGTTATGTATTCAATTTTTTAATGTATAAAAAAAAAAAAAGAGTGAAGCGACATAATGAGATTTGAACTCGTCTCCAGAAGAATTTGACATTACTTGAGCTGCAACTTTTGAATAAGGCTCGTGGCTTTTGATTGATTATTGTTAGAGATATAACAAAATCAATAAAAAATAAATAAAAATTCATCCAATAGATTAAGCAGTTGTTCAAATACGAATTTATGAATATTCAAGGCAATATTCGGGTTTAACTCAGAGTGCTCGATTTATTCCACCTTCTATTTTTTTCCAAGCCTAATTTTTTTTTTATGTGAAGGGTATTAGAGATATAATAAAACTTTGTACCAAAAAAGAAAAAGAAAATAAAAAAAAATATATAATAAAGGGATTATCATTTCTGCTTCGTGGCTAAATTTTTTTTTCTACCAACGAGACATAAAAAGAAAGAAATGAACGCCATCATTATTTTTTCTCTCATTCTTTTATACTTTCTTTCTCATTGTTTTATTTTTTCGGTGCCAGAAAAAAAAATTCTATCACTAAAGCAGCAGAAATGATAATCCCTGTAATGAAACATCCCTTCACCCAACAGCGCAGAATTCTCAACATAATTTTCACAATAGAAAAAAAGAGACTAATAAATTTTGGGTTTTTGAATAAAGTAGTGGGTGCTGAAGAAGCAGATCGATCGTCAGTTGTATTAATTAATTCTGTGCAAAGTTGCTAATACGAGCAAGTATAAGATAAAAAGTTGAGAGATAATTATGGTACGTGGTAGAAAACTAACCTGTGAGAAGATTAATTAGCATCATGAAGAATCCTCCGTTGAGTGCAACCATATTGACCAACATCTCAACGCAAGTGCCGAAGAAAGATAGTGGCGTTTTTACAAAGAGCAAGATCTTCTGGACCATGAGAGAGACAAATATAAGCCATCTTTGGCGGAAGCTTTCCTCCATAGAGCCCTCATGGCTGTCCACAAATTTTCGATTTCCTAAGTTACGAGAATATAAGACATGAAGGAGATCTCTGAAACGAGCATCTTCAGGCTTCAAGAACATATAACTGTTAGGGAAGCCCTTGTTTTCATTGGATGCCATTCCTAGCAAGGGCTAAGAAATTACGCTAACTAAAGACGAGGGAGTCACTGAACTATAAAGCTTTTTTTCTGAGTTATACTTCTACCAGAATGTCCTTGGTTTTGTAATTGGGCAATGTTTTTCTCATGCTACGTGAGATAGTATTATCTCATGTAGAAACATAATTAAGTGGATCTCACGATTAAAAGAAAAGATAAAAGAAAAAAAAATATTGGCTCGGATTGCGACGTGTATGTGATATGAGATAAATTTTTTTATGTAACTTGATAAAAACATTTGTCTTTATAATTATATAGAGCCGTCGTGACGCACTTTTATTTTTTTATTTTTTTACATGACTAGTCAATTAACCCAAAGGTTTATTACAGCTGTCACCGAATATTTTAAATTCTTTTTTGTTTTTGTTTTCGGTAGAATAGTTTAAATCTATTACACTATTTTATTTAATTGAATGCCAGATGAATCACAAGAAAGGAAGAACATATTTAGTGTTCCTGGAGCATATAATATTTAGTGGGACGGAGAAATGAGAAAGAAAGAAAAGCTGACGAAGGAGAAAAGAAAAAAAATATTATTTTTTTTTAAATTAAATGTCAAAATTTCAATTGATGGATTACGATACTCATGATGTAATATAATTTTTTTCCAAGAAAGGATAAGAGTAAATTTGTGCGAGTAAAAGACTTGGTTTAGTGATCCGACTAACTTTTCATTCACTGATCAAGATGGGACATTGATTAAATATTCAACTTTTTTAAAAATAATAATAATAATAAGGGAAGCTTCTAAAACTATAAGTTAAACTCTATACATGAACTAAACTGCAGCATGTTCTCAAGATGGATTTTTTTTTTTTTGCGAATCTCGAGATGGAGTTTTGGTTGGTACAAGATCTTCCTACAACTAAGACATTGACAAATGGAGTAAACGCAGACCCACATAACATGTGCAAGCTAGTCAAAGTAAGAAGGAAACTACAACCTGGTTTCCTACGCCTAGAACATGTTAAAATCATTTATTTGATGCTCTTATTTGAAAGGGGAAGAAAAACAATTGCATATATGTGAAATATAACTTCACTAGGTTGTCATGTAACTTTCTTTAAACTGAATATTCAAGTATCCAAGTTTTAAATTTGGAGTCAGTTTATACAAGGGAGGGGTTGTTCTTATCTATATAATAAAACGTGACTTTTATAGTTCTTTCTTAACATAATATTGTAAACAAAGTTCTTAGTAATGTAAGAATACATTATTAAAAAAAGTATAAATTACTTAGTATTTTTTTATGAATTTTATATAATTAACTAGATATCATTAATTACTTACTATTATCATATGAGATTAGTTGAGATAATTTTTTTCTTCTACATATACATAAAAGTGTGTAAGATCTTTTTTTTCTCTCTCTCTTTTTTGCATGGCTCTACATACTTTTATGTCTGTAGAAGATAAAATTATTTTTTATAATATGGAAAACATTTATCCCTTATTATATATATAATGTATTTATGGAGTGTCGTTATTTATCACAATTCACAAATGCAGTTTTCACTAAGGAACGAATGGCAACAATTTATAATTTTCTGACAAAAAAAATTATGAATGGATGAAAATGCTCACACCTATATAACTTTTTTTTTTTTTTTGATAAACAATTACACCTATATAACTTAAAAGGGGAAAAAGAAGAAAAATAAACAGTATCGGAAATTTTTATTATGACGTTAAACAATAGAGAGACTTTCATGACTTCAATCATTTCTTCTATTTTTATGTCATTTCACTTTCTTATATATAAATTTTCTTTTTAATAAAAAGAATTTTTTTTTTATTTTTCCCCAAACCCAAAATGTTATATAAATGGAAAAAATATCTATCTTTTTAAAGGATATAAGCTTATATCTTTTTAGATCTTAACCGTTGATTTCCGTCCATCAACGGTTATAATCTATTGGATCAAATTTAATGGACCAAAATTATTATTAATTAATTAATAATTTTGATTTAATAAATTATAACCGTTGATGGACGGAAATTAACGGTTAGGATCTAATAGGATATAAACTTATATCATTTAAAATGACAGATATTATTTCTTATATATATAGGAGAAGAAAACAAAAAGTTTATGCAAGACCACACAATATCCACCAATTGTATTTAAGTAGATTTTGATGTGTTGTTGAACTTATCCTTTCTTTATTTAATTTAGATTCGGAATGATTCAATGTGATCTTTTGATAATTGCATTTTCACGACTAAAATTAAACACCACTGTACGTTTTTTTGTTGTTGTATGTTTTTTATAGTTTGATTGTTTCATAATTTAATAATATATGATTTAATAGTATAGTTTAATAAAAAATTATTCTTTAAATTTTTTTTATGAAAAATATAATTTGTCTCATGTAACATCTAAAAAAATTAATAAAATCTACTAAAAAAATGGGCAAGAAATATATTTATTATGTGATAATGTAAATAAAAAAGATATTTTTTATGAATAGGGTTATATTGACAATTTTTTTTAACAATTTACACTGTCTCTGATCAGTAATACTCTACTCAAGAGTGTATTACTGATAAGACATAATACAGTTTCTAAGAGATTTTAAACAAAAAATTTGTAAATATAACATTTTCATATATATATATATATATATATATATATATATATATATATATATAGTGAAGATATTCTAACTACCAAAAACTCTCACTACTAACTTACTACCCATCACATTACCATTGGATCAAAGAGAGAGAATCTTCAAAAGTTTTTGAAGAGAGAGAAAATGTTAATCTAATGGTGATTAGATAAATAGTAAGTTGGTAGTGGAAAATTTTGGTAGTTAGAATATCCCTCCTCATATATATATATGGGTAAAAGATTTCTTCCGTCAATGGAGACAAGTTATCTCCAGTGAGCCCAAAACGACGTCGTTTTGGAACGGAAATCAAGGTGTTTTTATAATTATAATATATTACAGGGTTATTTTAGTCATTATCATTATAATTTTTTAATCTTGTAACTCCAAAACGACGTAATTTTGAGCTCACTGGAGATAAATTTATCTCCAGTGACTGAAGAAATACTTTCTTCTATATATATATATATATATATATATATGTATGTATACATATATGTATATATATATATGGGAAAAAAAATTCTCAAGCAGCTTGAGATAAGTTTATCTCCGACAATCCCAAAACTACGTTGTTTTATTTATTTATTTCCTTATATTAATTGATTCACCTTTGAATGATTATGATTTCATTTTCTCTCTCTCTTCCTTTATCACCATTGATCCATCTTTGTATGGTTATGATTTAGTAGCCGGAGATAAGATTATCTCAAGCAGCTTGAGAAACGATAAGCCCATATATATATATATGGGGTTTGATTTTCTCATGTTGTAGAGATAAAAAGCATGTGAGACCCATATGTTAAAAAAAATTATATGTAGGACCCATGTCAGCACGGAAATCGAAGAGTGTGTAGGAAAATTTGAATTCTCATGTTGAATGAGAATTATAAAACCCTATATATATATGAGTTTAGTGTTTGTCATTTTAAATTATATAAGTTATGTCATTTTAAGAGAGAGATAGACACAAAAAATGAAAATCATGGGAGAGAAAGTGAGTGATTTTTTTTTAATTTAAATTTTAAATAAAATAATATTTTTTTGTGTCTATCTCTCTCTTAAAATGACATAATTTTATATCATTTAAAATGATAAATATTTTTTTCCATATATATATAAAGTAATAGTTTTTCATGTGGTAGGAGATAACTCTTATCTCCTACAGACTCATTTATGTATGTGGAGTCCACTTTCAGGGAAAGAGAAAAAAATAGAGGGGAACTCATCTTGAATTTGTGTATGTAGGAGATAAATTTTTTCTTATGTAACATAAGAATAATAAATTTCATATATATATATATATAAAGAGGTAGGATCCTTTGACATCAGTGTCAAATTTAAAATTTGACACATCAGCTGAGAGTCATTAGATTAAAAAAAATCAATGGCTCTGATTTATAAGCATGTAACATCATTGATCTTTTTTGATCTAATGACTCTCAGATGAGGTGTCAAATTTTAAATTTGACACTGATGTCAAATGATCTTATTTCATGAAAAAATATGTTCTCATATTGCACGAGAATTCAATTATCATATTATGATCATTTAATTTACGTGAAAAACTTTTTTTTTCTGTCTCATTTGTAAATAAATGTGAGCCCACCAAGGGGATATTACTTACTTGAAAGTTGCGGTACAGCTGTCAACCGTGCTGACCAAATATCAGCCACGATAGGCATGCATTCGGACTGGGCCATTCCAATTATTATAGATGTGTGGTTGAGATATGACGAAAAAGTATAATACAATAAATAGTTAACTTAATAAATTATTTTTATATTATTAATTAAGATAAAATGTTTAAATATTCATCATTTAATACCTCTGAGTTTCTTACAAATTGATATAAAATTTATTGTTGTACCTTTGTATCACATATTATTTTGAGTGTAATAAAGAAAAAATACAAATACAATTTTATAACATATTATTTTAGGGAAAAATGTGTATAATTTTAAAGGACGTAAAGTTGTGTCATTTTAAGAGAGAGAAAGAGATAGATAAAGGAGGAGAGAGAGTTGACAAAAAAATAAAGGTGTGAGCCCCACCTCTTTGTGAGAGTGAAATGATGTAAGCTGTGTAATTTTAAATGATAGACATTTTTCCCATTATTTTAACCTTGTTATATTTTAGTTGAATACAAATATAACTTTTTGTTGTTTTTTAATTTTTAATTTTTAATTTTGGTAAATAAAATAAATTCTAATAATATCTTTGTATGGGAGAAATTTTGAGAGAAAGGTATTGTTGAGAATTTTTTTTTTGAATTCTTCTTATTTTATGAAATATCATATCATATTGTTTTTTGAATTTTTTTTGAAATTTTTTATAATTAATAATTTTA